AAAATTAATTCATGTTTAAGAGGTTTGTTCAGGATAACTTGTTTTTATTTTTCTTTTATAAAACTCGTGTTTTTTTTATTTTATCATTCAACATTTATTTACTTGAAAATTAGGCTTTGTGTGTGTTTGTGTGTGTGTGTATTGTTTTCTATAAGATTTTTCACTAATTTGAAAATGGCATGAGTTATATCGGATCTTTTTGTTTGTTATTCATAGTTAAATTTATTTTTTTAAATGGAATATTGGCATGAAATGCTCACTTTATGATTTTTTATTTATTTTTTGGGTTGCTACCTTGATAGTGCGTATGACCACTTTCAGTGTCACTGTACAACCTTTTATAATTACCTAGATGGACTTTTTCTGTTGATGGGCTGGTATCTCTAGTAGAGTGACGGGGGGTGTTTAATAAGTGTATCCTTGCAATTTAAGTTCTTCAAGTCATCAATCAATCCTTTCATTTATGTGATAGGCCTGCATTAAAAATAGACATTTACCACAATTTATAGGTATCTTATATTATTAGATACATTCTTATAAAACATATTTTAGTTAAGGAGTTATTGATACTTCAAGTGCAAAATGATGATATAAAACCATGATAAAAATGCACTTTTAAGTACTAATCAATACCTTAACTCATTTATATTAAAGAAATCCATTAATTGCTTCAATAAACTTCTTTATTCTAAGTTTTATATTTGGATTCAATAAAATCTCCAATGAATCTCTTCGTAATGAAATTAGGATCCCATCAACTTTGATAGGAAATCACTTGATTCTTTCTCTCTCCGTGCCCTAGAATTTGAAAGTAAATGAAGAATCGAAGGAGGAGAAGAAATTTCCCGAGCTCTCTCTTCCTCTCACAAAACTTTCAGCCTATTATTCTGGGAAGGAAGGATCTTTCCTCCAATTTATCAAAATGCCACTCATTTAACACAATTTAATTGGGAATTTTCACCTTTATTCATGTAAAATTTTCTTTTAATTTATTTTTTTATTGAGAATTATACTTATTTAACACATGGTTTATATTTATTTTTTACTAAATTTCATTTAATGTTTAATTTGTTATAATAATTATAGATATCTTTTCAAGATTTTGATAAGATATTTTTTCAAAATATTGATAAATGTTTTTTTTTTCAAATTATCATAATAATTATTATTTTTTATTACATTGTTTTTACCTAATTCTTGAATATTTTTTTAATATATTAATAGCCTTTAAATATTATTTTGATGTTAAAAAAATATACACAACATCAATCTAATTCAAAACTATACTTCTCCTATACTAAAATCATGTAAATTTCATGATTTTGAAGTAGATATAAGTATTTGGTTGATAACCGTGCTTTCATCATTGTTTTATGATTAATTTGTTTAATTATTAGATTAACTCATGATAAAAAAAATTAAAATGGTGGATAAAAGATTAAAATGGTGAATAAGAGAATTTTAAATCTAGTTTATTTTTGTGTTTTAAAAGTATTTTCAAAAAATTTTAAGATTTTTTTCTTTAAATTAATATATTTTTTATGTTTGATGTGCTGATTTTAACAATAATTTTTAAAAAATAAAAAATATTATTTTAAATAATTTCAAATAAAAAACATTTTAAAAAACAAATATAATCACACTTTCACCAAACAATTTAAAAATAGAGTTGAAAAAACCTATATTCGAAAATGTCCAGCCGCGGTGGATCACCACGAGGCATCTTACATTAAACACCGTATCTTGCTGACAAATGGCCATGTATTATTAGCTGTAAGAATCTTTGTTTGGTTCAGTCTACTCACTTCTATATCAGCTTTTGAATTTTGTAAAGTATTTTTTATTTAAAAATAATTTAAAATTAAAAAAAATTTGAATATTATCAGAGACAAGGGTAACATTAAAAAACACAAAATAATGAGTACATGTTTGCAGAAAGAAAGGAACAAGACGAAAAGCTCCCATAAATAAACACACCCACATTTAGTCATTCTCCATCACCCCCACCAAGGCATCAGCTATTGTTTTTCTCCCCTCTCAAATTCATTTGCTTTTTGGCCATGGCTTTCCAAACACAAATGTTAAGAAGAAAAGTGAAAGAAGCCAGAGCCAAGTTTTGGTGGAAATCTCTCTGCAGTTCTTTCTCTACAGTTCCTTCTCTTGTTGATTCTCCTCCTCAACTTCCACCATTTGATTACCAACCAAAACCTTACAGGGGACCATTAGCTGATGAAATCTTGCAAAAACGCAAGAAATTTTTGGGTCCTTCTCTTTTTTACTACTATCAGAAGCCTGTTAGTCTCTAATATTATGTACCCTTTTAATTTACTGGTTTCCTTCTTCATATATAGCATAAAAGTTTTGATCTTTGTTTGATTTTGCTGTGTTGTCACTCTGTTCATCACTTTCTGATCGTGCCCTTTTGATCTCAATCTATCTTTCCTTTTCATTTTGTGTTGATTGATGATGTTGTTTTCGTTTTGCAGTTGAATATTGTTGAAGGAAAGATGCAATATTTATTTGATGAAAATGGTAGGAGGTATTTGGATGCTTTTGCTGGGATAGTGACGGTCTCTTGTGGGCACTGCCATCCTCAAATTTTAAATGCAATTATGGAGCAAAGCAAGTTGCTCCAACATGCTACTACCATTTACTTGAACCATACAATTACTGATTTTGCTGAGACCTTAGCTGATAAGATGCCTGGAAATCTCAAGGTTTTTGGTGTCCTTGATCCCTTTCTTTTAATTTCCTTTCGGTAGATAATCGTAATTCTTGAAGGAATATACAGGAACGATGTAATTTAGGTTTTGATTATTATTATTATTTTGTTTTAAAATGATGGTCATTATTCTAAGTGGTTGGTTGGATAATGCTTAAAATAATTAGTTAACTTTTCAAAAACATGAATCTTCTACATGAATTTTCTTGGTAATCAGTGCTTAATTCATTATTATTTGTGTCAAAGGTACACAATATTCCCAAGTAAATTGTGGCGACGATTATTGAAGTAAGATTTTGATGCTTAAACTGATTTGAAAACAATATCTAAATTTTAAACTTGTTTGCATGTGCAGGTTGTCTATTTTGTAAATTCTGGATCAGAAGCTAATGAATTAGCTATGCTGATGGCTAGACTATACAGTGGTAACCTTGAAATGATTTCCTTAAGAAATTCATATCATGGTGGAAGTTCTGGTACAATAGGACTGACAGCTCTAAACACATGGAAATACTCAATTCCGCAGGTTTGTTGATCTACTGTTGCTGCAGGAAAATATGATCACTCGTTGTAATTGGATTGATGCCAGTAAATCTAACAGAAGAATACTGCAGGGCGAAATTCATCATGTTATTAACCCAGACCCGTACCGAGGAATCTTTGGCTCTGATCCTACTGGTTATGCCAAAGATTTGCAGGATCACATTGATTATGGTACTTCAGGAAAAGTTGCTGGATTTATATCTGAAACCATTCAGGTTGGTGACTTGACTTTGACACTTGTTTCCAGTAAGACTTTGATACTTGTTCCCAGTCAGCAGCGTATATGGTTTTTTTGACAACCGTGAAAATGAAATTTCAAGGACACTCTTTTCTCTCTTTTGGATGAATATAGGGAGTTGGAGGAGCGGTTGAATTGGCCCCTGGATACTTGACATTGGTTTATGACATTGTGCGTAAGGCAGGAGGTGTTTGCATAGCTGATGAGGTGCAAACAGGGTTTGGTCGCACAGGAAGCCACTATTGGGGTTTTGAGACACAAGGTGTCATCCCTGACATTGTTACTATGGCAAAGGTATTTAAAATCACCTCTTTCAGATTTGTTCATCAGTGCTGCAAAGATAATTCTATGTTTTAAATAGCTCTCACTTCAATATGTTACTTTCACTATCTTTTGAAAACTGCTTGACCATCCCACAAGTAACACCCAATAGCATTTATCAGGGCATTGGCAATGGTTTGCCATTAGGAGCTGTAGTAACAACACCAGAAATAGCACAAGTAATGGCGCAAAAAATTCAGTTCAATACTTTTGGTGGGAACCCCGTGTGCTCTGCTGGTGGACTTGAAGTATTGAGAGTCATAGACCAAGAGAGGCGTCAAGAGCATTGTGCTGCTGTTGGTTCGCACTTGATTGGACGTTTGAGGGAGCTACAAAGAAGTCATGACAGTAATTTATCCTGAACTTAGCATCTCAGTACTCTGTTGTGATTTTTGCCTCTGTGATTTACAGGACATTTTCTGTTCGCTGTATATTAAGTATTCTGTTGGCTGTCTTTTTGCACCTTCAGAAATCCGAACTACTTTCAATGCAAACCAACTATTACTAACTTGCTATAGCAAACCATACTTTTGAGTGTGGTTCTATTCATATACCAACATACACTAGAGTAAACTTAACTAGATTTTTGCTTAGGGCTCTTTTCATCCATCATAACTATATATAAAAGCAGATTTTTTTAAAAAAAACTTTTGATTGATTATAAATTTAATATATAGCATATCTCCAATAGTAATATGTTAATTCCACCTCACTCTGGTTAAGGGAAAAAAATAAACATTGAAGATATTCTTAAAAAAGAAATTATTAAAACCTAAAAAATAAAGTAATCTCATCTTTTCATTGTTTTCCTATGTCTAAAACCCTAAATAACATAAAATGAGTTTCTTAAATCACTCCTAACTTATATAGTATATCATTAGCACTTTATTTTGCAGTTTGTGCCGTAAACCTAGTTCCTGTAAGTGTGTGCAGATGAGTTTTCTTTTATGCATGTGCTTGTACAATGTCTTGGGATGGGCTATTACACAAATAAGCTGCATGTGAATGTTGTGCACATGTGTGCTTTTGTAAGACATGAGCCAGGCTAGTTTCTTTCCTTAAGAGCTTTATTTAGGATTAATTAGTTTTGCTGCCTCTGTAGCCTTGTGCAGAATAGAAATCAAGCCAGCCAAACAGAAGTCCAAATTTTATCAACTTTTTCGTCAGAGATTTCTACTTTGTATTTATCATCACTGGTTCCTGAGTGCAGAGCTTGGCATCTTAGTCGGCAAAGGTGGAATACATGGAAATGTGTTCCGTATCAAACCACCAATGTGCTTCACCAAAGATGATGCAGGTACTCTTCATGTCTCTTCAAGTGCTTAAATAAATTAAACCCTCGTGTTTTTAGACAAGCAATAAGGTAACTTTCAGGAGAGATTCTGAGAGCTTGTAAAAATTGCTTGCATGATGATTACCATTGTTAATTTTGTTTACATGCTCTTTTTAACCAAATGATCTAATGTCACGGTTTTTGTTTTGGCATACGCAGATTGTCTTGTTGACGCGTTGGACTATTCAATGTCAAAGTTGTGAGGAGCTACCTGCCAGAAGCTGAGATGAATATGTAATTATTCACATTTTTTGGCATCGATCTCTTCTGATAGGTTGCTTTCAATAATATC